TTTCTTTTCTTTTCTTTTCTTTTCTTTTCTTTTCTTTTCTTTTCTTTCTCTCTTCCCTCCCTCCCTCCCTCCCTTTCTTCCTTCTTTCCTATTTTCCAATGTTAATTTTTGACGCTGTGTTTTTGCCCCCTGAAAAAAGGGTTTTTTTCCTTTTTCTGGCCATGTGAAATCACAAAATTCAGTTATATAGAAAGTATTTTTATTTTAGAAGTTTGTTCTTAAAAATTTACGTTTCTGAAAAGATAGGATTTCATTGAAGCCATAAAATTCTGCATGAAATCTGAAATGTGTTTGCTTGTTTGGTGGTACCTAACAAATCTAGTGATCAAGGAATTTTTAAGTTTTTTTAGAAAAATATTAAGTGGGTATAAAGATTCACTTTGTTAATTTAATGTGTTTAATATGGTATTTTCATTAGTGAACAGTGAAGTGCCTTGTTGGGGATAGGATAGCTTAGAAAAACATTACTGTAGCTGAGGCTAGCTGTAGTGTTTTAATTTTTTTAATATTTGTGTCGGGTGTGGTTCCTGAGAAACAGTTGTGAATAATACTTTTTGGTATCTTGCCACAATTCAGAAGAGGCTTTTACTTAAAAAAATTATCTCTAAAACTTTCAAGAAAATCTGTACAGAATACTTTCATTCTTCAACTCTCAAGTGCCTTTTAATATATCCTAAAACTTTCTGGTTCATAACAAAACATAGTTGCCAAATTCAAGGAGTAGTAATTTTTTTTAAAAGGCGAAAATACAATCTCTTAAGCATACTTGCTAAACTGGAAAAGGAAAATAGGCTGAAAGTTCAATTACCTTTGCTTTATTGTAAAGGATAAGTGGGTGAGAATATGATAGAGGAAAATAGTATCTTCACCCTTACTGTACACATATGAAAGTTTCTGCTTTCGTATATATAGTCACAGTAATGTATGAACATTTATGTCTTCATAATGGAGTCTGCTAATTGTATGGCATTCTGTTTTATATCACAGTGCTAAAGTTGCATTAAAAATGAACATATTTGTGCTGTGTATGAGGACACAGGAAACGTTATTGTAACAAGCAGTTTTTGGGCACGCAGTTTTGATTTGTGTGTTTGCTGGCTCTAGAAGCTATGTCAAGGACTTGGTTTTCTTTTTTCTGTTCTACCTATTGGGTTGCTGCTCCCTAGCCATATATCCTGAACAGTTATTTTTGTTTACTTTTCATATAAAAATATTAATACAACAGGTAGCATCAAATTAACCTGTCTTTCCTTTGTTGCAGAAAACTTTAGCTAAGATTGCAACATGCTTGGAACTCAGGAGTGCAGCTTTGCAGGTATAATTCTGGTTTCATCTGGGATTTCTGGTTTCTTTATGGGTTTCATTAAATATTAAAATCTTAAAGAACACCTTTTGTAAAAACCTGACTGGGGCAAGTATTCCACTCATCTTTCGGTTATGTGTGATTTATTACAGTGTCTGGGTCCAAGAAGAAAAATTAAGCAACAGCTTATAATATAAATCTTTTTTTAAAAAATTGACTTTGGAACAATATAAAATACTAGTTTATACTGGTTTCTCTAATCTTTCCATTCAAGCAACTTGAAAGTTATAATACTGTAGTTATCTTCTCCCTATCGTCCACTAAGCTATGTAATATTCACAAAAGTACTATTGTCACTTGCATCCACGAAAGAAAAATGTTTCTTGTTAGCAAAGATGTATTTTGAAGCTGGTCAAGAATGAGTATGAAATCTGGCTTCGTTGTTCCTTTTATTCATTATTTATTTATTACAGCATATTAATAGTATATACCACTCGATTCCAATACAACTCCAGAAAGGTAGAACCGGAGCAGTATTTTGCAATTATTTTGCTCCTTTCCTAATGGATGATTCCAGTCAAGGGGGGAAGGGGAGGAGAGGAGAGGAGTCTGTGGCTGCTCTCTTGTGAAATACCACAGGGCTCACTTCCTACCCCACCTACCCCGCCTCTCTCCTTCCGCTTAACGTTTATAAGTTATCGTTATATATCAGCTGATGGTCTGGGATCCAGCATCATCAATGGACTAAAGATATTCAGCTTTACATCATTATTCAAGGTCAGGCTACTAATGAAGTACGGTCCTTCTGAAGACTTTGAGATTTTGGATGGGAAAGAAGAGCCTTAAGCAGGATTACTGTTTGTCCATCAAGGCTCTCTGTCTGCTCCAGTGGTACCCCTAAATGGGTCCTCCTGGAGTTGTGGTTTGTGTTAGAATAGCAGGTAGAAGTTGTAGTCAGAGAAGTCTTTGCCTAGCTTTGGCTATAGTACCAGTTGTAGCCCTATCTGGAATAGGAGGATATTGCTACAGTGACTTGTCACTTGTCACCACCTGTTTAAACTATTGCAATATGCTCTATTTGACTCTGCCTTTAAAGACCAATTGGAAGCAGTAGTTGGTCCAGAAGGAAGCAATCTGTGCCTTCAACCACTGGGAGCACATTATACAAGTGCTGTGGGCCTCTGATATGACACCAGGTTATCAGCAGGACCACATTCATCCATTGCATTTGACCTACTACGTTTGATCTGACTGAAAAAAAGCTGCTAATGATTCCTCATTTTAGGGCAGTGAAGGGAACTGAGGTTTGGAGGCATTGGTCTTTTGGAATGGCCTCCTAGTTCAAACATGCTGAGGGTCTGTGAGCCATGATGTTATCTTGATTAGGTTAATAGGCACTGTGTGTGTGTGTGTGTGTGTGTGTGTGTGTGTGTGAGAGAGAGAGAGAGAGAGAGAGAGAGAGAGAGAGAGAGAGAGAGAGAGAGAGAGAGAGATCCTCAGTAAGATAATGGAATTTTTAATTATTTATGGTCGCACATTTTTATCCTTGTAGACTACAAAACTGGCACTATTTAACTGTTATAACTCACTACAAAATAGCAATGAATAATAATTGCAGATGTTAAATACTGTTTTTCTTGCAGTCTACACAGTCCCAGGAAGAATTTAAGCTGGAGGATCTGAAGAAACTAGAACCAAGTAAATGTTTCCCTTTTTTAATTAAAAAAGTACAACAGAAATGCCCCCACCAGAACAATGGATTTCACTAATCTGTAACTTCAGGTTTTATACAACAGAATGCCTTTTCCTTGCAAATAATTACATTATTCTTCAGGAAACTCAATTTATGTAGTATCTTTTTTATATTAGTAATGTCTTAAAGGTTCCTGTGACTACTCCGTTTTACCCAGGGAAGGAGTCTTCGGAATATCTTTCCCAGTAGTTTCTGCTGGGATGATTGAGTTTTTTAGTAAAAGAAGTTGGGATGTTGCTATCAGAATGGATTAATTGGCAAAAGGATTGCCACAAATTACTTGGGAGCTCATTGCCTGAGCTTTTTTGGCAGATATAGGAAGTACTATCAGTTGTTTAATTATCGGCATTTGAGAATATCTGTTTTTCCTTTGTTGGCAGAGTTGTTCCAACTGGAAAAGCAAAAAGCATGGCATTTATTTTGCCAATAGCTTTGAAACATGATTTATTTTTCCAAGCATATGTACTATTGCTATGACTTTATCATTATTTATACACAGACACATATAAATGTACTTGGTATGTGAGAACTATCATTCTCTGAATTTCTTAATTACATATTAATTAATTTGTTCTTGCACAATATCAATCATAGATATTGCCTAAGTTAAATCTACCCTTTCAAGACAGACATATCTGTCTTCTAAAGATAAAACAAATTCTAATAATGTTTTTTCTCTCCAGAATCATGTTTACTTAATAGCAATAGCATTTAGACTTATATACCACTTCACTGTGCTTTACATGCCCCTCTAAGTGGTTTACAGGGTCAGCATATTGCCCCCCAACAATCTGGGTCCTCATTTTACCAACCTTGGAAGGATGGAAGGATGAATCAACCTTGAGCCGGTGAGAATTGAACTGCTGGCACTTGGCAGTATTATTAGCCTGCAATCCTAATCCCTGTGCCAGTATGACTCATATAGAAGTCTCATATTTAACATTTGCTAATTTAATCTTAATTATGTATGGAAAATATAATACAAACTTACTGCTTTCTTACTGTGACTATTAGGATTAAACCCTATCCTTTTTATATAATTGTATAGAATTTTGTTGGCAATTATTACTGTCTTTTCTTACAGTCTTAAAGAGTATTCTTACCTATAATAAAGAATTTCCCTTTGATGTTCAACCTGTTCCACCAAGGTATGGAAAAATTGCATGCAGAAAAAACCTATGTCGGAAATTGAAAAATTTCCATTTGTCAAAGGGTCAATAGATTTTACCAGTCACTGGATCCTATATTGGTTGAATTTCAAATTTTATTTATATCTTTTGTAAAAGAAGTTAGAAGTCACTTCATTTTTATACTGTTTTTCTATAGCTTGTTTTTTGCACTCCTGTTCTCTTTCTTGTTAGTGTTTCTCTCTGTCTATCATCCTTCGGGCTAAGTATGTTAGTTTTTGTCTTCATGTTCTATAAAAAAATATAATAAAGTTATATTAAAAAATTGCAAAATTTAGGTCTGCAGAATGTAGAAGTTTTGAAATTCAATTTTAGGCTTCTGATAGTTGAATTGAGGCCATAAATACAGGTAGTCCTTGATTCACAGCCATGATTGAGCCCAAAATTTTTGTTAGTGAGACAGTAAGTGAATTTTGCCCCATTTTAGAACCTTTCTTGATACAGTTGTTAAGTAAATCACTGCAAATGTTGTTAAGTTAGTAATATGGTTAAGTGAATCTGACTCCCCCATTGACTTTGCTTGTCAAAAGGCCACAAAAGGTGATCACGTGACTTCAGGTCACGTGGTTGGTTCGAATATGAACCAATTAATTGCCCATTGTGTCTGAATTTTGATCACAGGATCATGGGGATGGTGCAATGGTCGTAAGTGTGAAAAAGGGTCATAAGTCACTTTTTAAATGCTGATGTAACTTCAAATGGTCATTAAATGAACTGTTGTAAATTGAGGACTACCTGTATTCCCAGTATTACATTCAGAGATACAGTACTGGCAATTCCTATCCAACTCCGTCTTCAGTTGCACTATGATGTTTTCCTTTTTTAAAAGAAAAATATTAGCACCTGGTGAAGAGGAAGATTTAGAATTTGAAGAAGATGAAGAGGAAGGTGGAGCTGGAGCAGGATCTCCAGATGCATTTCCTGCCAGAGTCCCAGGTAAGAGGCCAAACTGAATCAAGTGCAGAAGAGGACAAAAATGAGAATGTTGGAATTATAGTCTTTTGAAACAGAGAATGCAAGGACTAGATGGGGCCTTGAAGGTAATCTAATCCAGTCACTGAATTCGCTCTTAGAGCCATCTGGCCACCACTGTCTCCTACTGTTAGAATTCTTTTTCTCTGTTGTCTAATTAAAATCTATTTCTTGTACTTTAAATCCATTGTTTCTCATTTTGTGTTCTGGAACAGTTTTGCCCCATCTTCTGCAGATATTTGAAGAGAGTTGTCAAATCTCTGTAAAGTTTTCTGTTTCCAGGTTAAACATACCCAGTGCTTTCAAATGTTCCTCATGGGTTTTTCTTTTTCAGGCCTGTTTTCATCTTTTTTTTCTCAAAGCATGTGCAAGAATTATTATTATTATTATTATTTTTTTGGGGGGGGGGGAGAATCTGCAACTGGATGCTTGTTTGCTAAACCTCTTTCCTGAGTAAAAAGCAGCTCAGCATGCCCTTGCTAGAATGCCTATGTGCTAAGATTTTATGAGATGCCATTATTGTTAGCTGAACTAAAAACTGTTGTCCCTTATCACCTGAAGGTAAGGTGAAGGACAGAGAGCAAAGCAGAAACATGGAGTTTTCTTAGAAAAGCCTGCCCAGTAGCAAGAAAGCTTGCTTTGTGAAAGTCTATACTAATTTTGTCAGCTCTCAAATTCAGATAGGGTTTGAAGTTTATCATTTTATCGATGCGTAATCCCTATGGAAATTGGTGCTTCATATTTATTATTAGCCAATGGTTGAATAAGTTTATTGATCATAGATCTTTACTAAGCAGAAAAAATGACAGGGTATAATTTAAGCATGGCTAATGTGCAAACCCAGGAAAGGCATGGCTTCCCTGAGAGGTACTAACAGGTGCAGTGAATGTATCCTACACTCACTCCAAAGTACTTTTTCGTCTTTTGCATCCAAATCTCTGATAATTTGGCTTAAGTGCCAAATTGATAACAAGAAAGTTAATTAGGTCTACATGATAGCATGGATAAGGCAAAAAAGCATGAGTGATTTTTTTTAAAACAGGGGCTCTATGTTGGTGAAGATTACCTTTCTTCTACACCCCCCCCCCCAAAAAAAATATACCCCATGTAACAATCATGGTTTAAAAGTAGCCCCAGTTGTGCATTAACAATTCTTATAAAAGCTCTGGAAAGGAAAACTTGTTATTTGCAATTATTTGCTGATAAAAAATAGGTGCCCCTTGAGGCTTGAAGTAGGAGCCTTATGTGGTCAGGAACTGTGTGATATTTCATATTCATATTTAGCCATTAGTTGGAGTTTTCAAATTTGATTTAAAAGCTTGGGATGGGGGGGGGGGTTGAACATTAAAATTGACAAATTTTGGACAGCAGTAAATGGTTTTTAGGAAATGTCTGAAATAAGTGACATAGTTCAATCTGACAATAGCTGTCTGCCAGTGAAACAGCACTAGTAGAAGTCAGTAGTACTCTTTGCAATTTGCTTTGTACTAACCAAATGTATTTTAGTGGACTGGTAAGATCTTTTATGATTTTATGAAGCTAAAAGAGGAAGAGTTGATAAACTTTATACTGGTTCCTTTGAAAGTCCATTTATGTAATATTAGATTTAGCACAATAATTACTGTTTTCTACAGTATGTTTATTTTCATGTCTGAAATAGCTAAACTTCCAACACAAGCTTAAGTTCCAAGAAATCCTGTTTTGGGGATGTATTACACAAGTAGACTTTGCCATGAAACTGCATGCATCATTCACTCCAGATAAGAATAATTGGGTACAATCTTGACATATGTATGCCGATTAAAGTGGATAAGTAGAATTTTGTAATAGTTGAAATACCATGGTGCTGAGATGATGCCGTTTAAAAATGAACTTTGAGATAACTTACACATATGGTACTAGATTTAGGAGACTGTTTTGCTGACATTGTAACTTCCATTTTATGTACTTCATTGTACAATCTGTTTCTTTTCACGGATCCCATATTGCATTATTTTGCTGCCTAATCATTCATGGTCTTGTCTTATCTTCTACTTGCATGGCTCCATTGTGTAACCATGTGCTGCATCATTCAACTAATCCAGGAACCAGTGAAGGTATGATAATGTTCTAATGTTAATAGTTGCTGTTTATATATGATAATCATATTGCTGTTGTTTTATTATTTAATGTAAATATGAAAACTCTTTTATGCTAAAATCTGCCATCTGGCTCTTTTTTCCCCCAAATAAAAGATAGATGATGAATGTCTATCCTATATGCACAGAATCAAATTGTACAAGTTTCTAAATTGCTTTTGATATGGAGAAAATCCATCTTTTAAAAAATCAGTTGGTATGTGTGGATATTGTAGAATGTTTTTTTCCATCAGAAACGCAAGCTTATTTTAATACGCTATAATGATTCATGCAGATTTGTACTCAGGTATGTGTGTATGTCAAGAGTGAGCAATGATGTTTCGGACTTTTGTTCCCAGTGCCCCAGCCATCGTAGCCAATGGATTATAGAACTTATCATCTAGAAGACTAGTTTTGGCTTTTATGTCTTATGTTCCAGCAGTGGTGCTACTAAAGAACCTGGGTTACACCATTTAGAAAAAAAATCAAATGTCCCCGTCAATAAAGAAGGTTGTATGGTACTGGAATTTTGCTGTGTTTATTGTTTACAGTAAACTTTAAACATACTAAGATTCAATGTCTTCACCCAAATATCACCTCTGAATAAATGTATCATAAGTTAAAAACCACAAGTCTAAAATATCTGGAAGGTAAATTATATTGGCTATCTCTAGATTGTGTGGTGCTACAGACTTTGACTCTGACAATAATTCTGCATTTGGCTTTAACTCTTCTCCAAATTGGTGTTTAGCAAGTGGTTTTGGTGTAATATTTGAAAAGAAAAACCTTATGTCTACTCTTGGCTCTCTCTCAACTGTTAACTACTTGTCTTGTCATGATGCATGTGTCTCCATGTTTGTTTGTTCATGCAATTCAACTGACAAATTATTTGCGTAGAGAATTTAATAGATAATAGTTCCTCAACTCTTTTGTTCAACTATGAAAAGGATCCTACTTTTCTTAGATGCTGTAATTTACAATCAGATCATATGAGTAAATTATGCCAGAGATAGTGTCTTATGATGTTAGTATCAGATATCCTTTTGTTGACAGAATTACTTACAAGAGAGAATGAAAGTATTAAAAATGCTGAATGACTTTATTATTCTGGTCTATTTTTCCTTCAGGTACTTTATTACCCAGATTACCATCTGAACCCGGGATGACATTACTAACTATCAAAATAGAAAAAATTGGTCTTAAAGATGCTGGGCAGTGCATTGATCCCTATATCACAGTTAGTGTGAAAGGTAGGTATTATTTTTCTTAACTGATTTGGCTAGGCATGTAATTTTGGTCCTTTTTATCCAGTATTAGCTAGAACTGAATTAGCAAAATATTTGACTATGTAATCAGCATTCAGAGTTTAAAATATTGAGATTTGTCTTTCCCCATAGAAACTCTTCAGCATGCCTTTCTAGAAGTCCCTTATCCCCAGTTCTTAGAGTTTTGGCACCCTTAGTTGATGTGATCATGATCTGGATGCTTGACAACCCATTTGCATTTATGATCAGTTGCCAAGCACTATGCAATCATGTGATCACCATTTGCAATGTTCCCTACTGGCTTCCCCAGAAAGTCAGAGGGGAAGTTGACAGGGAACAGCACAAATTGCTGGTATTCCATCTGTGCACTCTCCCCTGGCCCTCCTGTGCATCTTCTCCCACCTACTCTGTGCACCCTCTGCACTCATGGCAGAACCCACATATTCTTTCCAACCATGTGGCATCTCTTGCACACCCTTCTCAATCTGTGCCTATCATGCACTCAAGTTATACCAAACCTCTCGTATACTTCTGCTATGTCTCATGTATACTATCCCCCACATCTGCATTGCTCCTCTATTGCACCCCATAGCACCTTCCTCAACTTGTGTGGCACCTCTCACACATACCCTTGTACCCTGCCTGATCTGAGCATTGCCTCCCGCACACCTCATGCACCCTTCTTATTTAGCACTTTACTCCCTTCTCCACTTAGTGCATCCACTTATTTGTCTGCCAGGCCCTTTCCTGCCTGATTTTGGTTGTGGAAAGCTGGAAGGAAGGTGCCTCACCTAATGACAATGGGATTTAGTTAAGAATGGGATTGCCCTTACTAAGCAGTGCCATTATGCTTTACAACTGCATTGCTTACTGTTAGAAATTCCAATCCCAATTGCTGTTATAAGTTAAAGACTACCTGTATTAAAAGATTTGCATCACTGTTTTTTTCAAAAAGCCTTTGTTAAGAAATTGCTTTTTGGCCACATTGCTTCGAATTGGAAATTCTAGTCCCAATTGACATTGCAAGTTGAGGATTGTTCCTATTAAAGGTTTCCATCTGCTATTTTTTTCAAGGAGCATCGGTGAAAAGTTGGGTTTGTCCTAAGTCTACTTCATTTCTGTTCAATAAATGTTCCTCTAGGCTGGACACATGATCAAATCTCTATTGTAAACACCAAATATTTCATCACTTTGGAAAACATTTCTCACAGAATGTGCACTGGGAAAGCCAAATAAGCAATGTTACTTTACCATAACCAAAACACAGAATTGGTTACTCATGATTACTACCATGTTTTTGGAAGTGACATTCCTGTAAAGAATCTTGTGAAAAGATTTGAACTGTTTACAAAAAGAAACTTTTTCTTTGTAATGCTTAGACTGTTGAATAATGAATGTAGTGCCCTGGGAAGTAGTCCTTGTTCAATATAGCAAATGTCACAACTGTTTTTCCCCTTCTTAATGCTTAAATTTTATTCTCGGGACAGATCTCAATGGGATAGATCTTACACCTGTACAGGACACCTCTGTTGCTCCAAGGAAGGAGGACACTTACATTCATTTTAATGTGGACATTGAAATTCAGAAACATGTTGAAAAATTAACAAAAGGTTTGTTGCATGGAGATTTGAAAATCATGTTGAACTGTGATCAATAGGACAAAGCATAATTTAGATCGATAACCTGGGGAGAAGGCCTATGTGCTATCTCCAGAAAAATGTGGTTACCCCATAGTGCCTTAACCAAACTACTTAAAACTTTTTAAAGATGTTATTTATGATTTGGGATGGGGGCAGATCAAAAGACAGTGGCTTCAAAATTCTTAGGTTGATTCTTTGCAAAGGTTCAGAATCTTCAATGAGGATCATTTTTCCTCAAGGCAGTTCTAACAGTATTGTATTAACTATGCTAGTCTATAAAGAAGTACAGTGATGTAATTTGAAGAGCGTTTTAGATTTATTTTCTCTCCTACCTTTCAGGTGCAGCTATTTTCTTTGAATTTAAACACTATAAACCCAAGAAAAGGTTCACCAGCACAAAGTGCTTTGCCTTTATGGAGATGGATGAAATTAAAGCTGGACCAATTGTTATAGAACTGTAAGTAAGTGTGTGCATGAAACACAACAAACAATGTATTCCAGAACACCTGCTAAATTCTTTCAGATCAGTCATGGTTGGTCAGAAGCAAAACCTGGAATGTTTTGGTGGTCCCAGGCTTTGGTGCAAATCAAATTAGGGGTGACTTTAATGGAGCAAATATGGTAGAATTAGTATGCATCATCTCCTCTGATCATCAGTGGTGCATGGGTCTATCCATCTGCCTCCTATCTTCTCAGTATCTTCTCTCCCCATTCCAGTTGCTGCTATCTACATGTTCTTATATACTGTTGTTTTCCTTAGAGCTGTATATTTCAATCCATATTCAGAACAAAACATTTCTGTTTTATTCCATGTATTGCCAAAATTTTAGTTGAGGACTGACCAAAAACAAAAATCCCATGCATATCTCTAAATGTAAGTAAAATTTTGCATAAAGCAGGTATCCATATTTGCTATTATACAAATGACTTATGTTGAAAGGTATGCTTGGAAAGTAGTGCAGTTCATTAATTTTCTTCTTGAATATGAAGATAAATGCTAAGCTTCCATAATGCTTGATGTGTATATTATTTTATGATGGCTGAGCAATATCTTAGCTCTGAATCCAAGTAAAAGTATGCATGTTTAAAAGATCTGAAGAAGAGGGTTCTACCCTCCAAAATGTAAGATATCAGAATAGATATTAGATTATGTGTTTGTGATTCTAAAACCACTTTAGCTACTTTGGCTTAATTTAGAAGAAAACTGGTAAACAGAAAAGTGAAACAATGATTAAATGATTATCTGAATAATTAGTATAGAACAACTTTTGAGACAGTTTTATTCCAAACAAATGCCATTGAATTTAAATGGGACAATTATTGTGGAGGTATGAATTAGGATTAGGAGTTGTAGCTATTCGTTTTACCTAGTTCTCAAATTATATAAAATCCTTTTAAGTAAGAAGAGAATCATCTGTGGTAGGTTTCTAAACAGCATTAAGTTTAATTGTGATATTTACTCTTTTTATCATTATAGGTACAAAAAGCCCACTGATTTCAAGAGGAAGAAACTTCAGTTGTTGACCAAGAAGCCACTTTATCTTCACCTTCATCAAACACTGCACAAAGAGTGACTTTTGTGAACTGAACCACTTGCCACAAAATCATAGTAGCTGCATATGTAGCACTTGTTTTTCAGGAGGAAGGAAGAATTGAATGCGTTTACCTTGTGGTCACAAATGACCATCAATGCTGCACAGCAGTGGATCAGCATCCACACTCTGCATCCAAGCCCAGTTTCTTTGGAATGTATATTTTTTATCTCAGATGTTCCAAAGTGTGTTGCAAGTTTTTCATAAATGGGCCGGTTATTAACTTCAGTTCTGTAACTTGATTTCTACAGTTATATCAGAACCCTTAATTAAAGCAGTTGAGGAATCCTCACCTGCTGAACCTGATACAGCAATAAAAATATGCCAGTATCGAAACACTTTTACTGTTCTACTGTATTTTGTTTGTATCATTTTCCTAAGTTCATTAAATTTATAACGTATTATTACTATCTGAGTTTAATTATATAAAATGTCAAGAAGACACTCCCACCGCCCCATGTTGCATCCATTTTTTAAAATTGTCTTTCTCAAAATTGGGAACTAGCAATAGCACTTAGACTTTTATATTGCTTCATAGTGCTTTTACAGCCTTCTCTAAGCAGTTTACAGAATCAGCATATTTCACCACAATTTTATTGACCTTGAGCCTGGTGAGATTCGAACTGCCAAATTGCCAGCAGCCGGCAGTCAGCAGAGGTAGCCTGCAGTTCTGCATTTTAACCACCAATCATAAAACTAGTTATGGTTGTTCTGAAAATTAGTAAACTCATTATAGTTGGTCCTCAGCATACAACGGCAAGAATTGCCATTGCTAAATGACTCAGTCATATAGTTGTGCAATGTTACATTCCCATGTTGCTTAACAATGGCAATCCAAGCCATTCTGGTTGTTGTCATTAAGGGGGGACCTCATGTGACCTTCCTTGACTTCCAACTTCCTGCTAGCTTTCCCATTGACTTTGCTTGTGGGAAGCCAGCAAGGAATATCTGAAATTATGACCATGTGACCATTGCTCACTGTAACATCATAATCATGAGCGGGAACCTGGATCACAATCATGTGACCATGGGGGTAATGCAATGGCCAGAACTCCAAGGGTCTATCATATAGTAAGTACCATTCATTCATTCAGTTCTGTCATAACTTTGAACAGTAGCTGAATGATTGGTCATATTACCCAAGGACTACTGTACCTGTGCACTTGTTCCAGATAATGTCAAATGCTATAGAGTTTTACCATTGGAAATAGGCTGAAACTAATGGTTTAATTTAAAAAAAAAAAACTCGGTGATTATAAAAGAAATAAACCCATCCTAAATTGCTCTAAGAAAAAAAGCTGAAAAAAGCTTCTAGTTCAAGGGTGTCAAACTCGCAGCTGTGAGCTAGATGCGTCACATACTGCCCCCCCCAATTTAGTGAAGGGGGGGAAGTCCCAATACACGTGATGATGCGTTTGACATCCCTTTTCTAATTTCTAAGTTTACACTGCATTATGTGCTTAGAGATGCTATCTACATGAAGGGAATATACAAATGTCATTAATTACGTATATTCTGGATATTAATATCTAACAAATATATCTTAAACAAGGCTGTACCTGATGATTCTTAACAGTAATATACTATCTACCACAAACCAATGGTAGCAATATTGGAAAGTTAAGATATCCATACATCTTAAGCTTGCTGAAGTTGGGAAACACTGATTTAGATCAATTTCAAATCTATTCCACGCAACAATCCAAATTAAGGCATCCTTAAGTGAATATATTGCTGCTGCTTGAACTCATCTAGTGAAAGCCCATCATATCAGTATCTGGCTCTGCCATTAAACAGTTGTATTTGAATTTTTTTTTAACATTCACCAGAAATCAGTATTCCCGTAAGTTAAATCCATTACTTTACAAACTCCACTCTAGAATATAAAACAGAATGAGATAATGCCATGACATCTTCTTTGTTTTCATAAAGCTAAACTTTCTCAAAATGAAATCAATGATTCCAAACTTTTTTTCCGAAGTAGTGATAAGTGTCCTCCATCCTAACCTCTCCATCTGATTGCTTTTTCTATTGGGTCTTTACTAAGCTTTTTTTTGTTATTTTCATTTCTTTCTGTATCTGGATCATTTAGAATTTTTCCTAGAGTGATAGCTGTTCCATCCAAATTTGTATCATGTACAAAAGTGATGGGGCTTCTCATCCAAGTAATGGATAAGATGTTTAAGAGTAAAGACCTTGAGACTGAACTTTGCAAACATCAGAATAATTGTATCTACAACATTTCCACATTGCACTAAGGAAGTGAGCTCATTTTTTAAAAAATGATTTGTTCAGTAATTTCATCTGCTGACATTTTTTTCAAGGCAATTACAAGGTTTTTTGGTAGAAATGACAGATTAATTACCCTGTAGTTCCAAGGGCATTTGCCGTCCCTACTCTCTGACCTTCACATGTTCTCCAATATTTCTTAAATACATGATAAATTGGCTGAACTATCAGCAAGTTCCTAAACTATCAGCAGTATCCTAAAGTGCAATCTGGACAGATACCAACATTCCAATGCCATGCTTCCAATATGTCCCTTCAACCTACTTTTTGCATTTGCTTAATGAAATGTGTAGCCTGTTCTTGGGGAAGATTTAGCCAAAATAAAAACTGGTAAAAACGCCTTGGTCATCTTAATTGACCAAGTAAATCTTTATTTTTAATCTTTCTGAAGAAGCCATTTGCCACAGTTTTTAATATCCATTCAACCAACTTTAGTTCATGTTGCAAGTTACTTGCCTAAGACTAACTACTATTCCAGGCTACATATTTCTTATTGTGACCTCTCGACATGAACTTTTTGTGCAGCAGTACTGGCCTTTTTTTCTGTTTGTTTTTATTTTCATCTTGTTGGGATTCTTTGGAACCATGTTGTTATTCATTTATTAGGAACTTTTTATGATCAGCAAAATGGCAATTGATTTAATAGTATTACAAAGAAAATAAGCAAACATGGGACATGTCAGATGAAAAGGAATGAAAATGTTTTTACACAATGATGCATGTTGGATCACTACTCTAAAAGTATGATATATTTGGATCTTTAAAACAGCTTTGGACACAGTCCCTCACTAACAACTCCTTCACAAATTCAGGAAGAAAAAGAGGGGCGCTCACATAGATTGGCAACTGGTTAAAAACTTATGCCACCAGACTCGAAATTGTAGACCTAGAAAACCTACAACTACGCCGCTTTCAGTCCGATCTAAGTATAGTATATAAAATCATACATTGCAATGTCCTACCTGTCAATGAATACTTCAGCTTCACCCATAACAATACAAGAGCAAACAAATAGATACAAACTCAAGGTTAATCGCACCAAACTTGATTGCAGGAAATACAACTTCAACAACAGAGTGGTCAATGTCTGGAATACTCTACCTGACTCTGCTGTTTCTTTCCCAAACCCCAAAAACTTTAACCTTAGACTGTCTACTATTGATCTCACCCCTTTCCTAAGAGGTCTGTAGGGGGCGTGCATAAGCGCACCATCGTGCCTATGGTCCCTGTCCTATTGTTTCTTTTATTTTTTTTATTTTTCTTATATGTATCCATGTATTCATAACTATGTTTTGACTTATACCTATTATCTTGTAAGCAATTGACAAAAATAAATAAAATAAATAAATATTCTTACATTGGTGAGATGCTCAAAGTGAGGTTCCCCAGAAAATAGTTCTGGGATCATTAATTTGTATAGAAAAAGCTCATTTTAAAATTCATTTGTTTGATCACTCAGAGGACTGAAAGAGCAGAACAATCTCTTAATTCTGTCTAACCCAACATGTTAAATAAGAATTGATATTGCCCTGCAATGAAAACAATGGGTTTACAACCTCTGCTGTCCTCCAACTTGATTCAAAAGGAGGTAACCCAGAGTTGAAAATAAAGTACTTCTAAAAAAACAGGACAGTCATAAGACAGACTGTCAAAACAACTGAAAATTGACAACCTGCTGACATCCAAAGCTCAGTTTATTTATTGCCATTATGTAATAGGTATGAGCAATTAACCTTATTAGAAGTATAAGCTAAATTTAGATGCCAGGGGAGAAAACTATTTCCAGAAAATAAGGCTCAAAGTCAACTCAGAGACTGTACGAGTGAGTATAAAGTCATAACTGATTTTTATAGCTAAAACAATACCTTTAGCTGCACAAACTGTGCTTTCTATTTTTAAACAACTGGATAAGATTTATAACAAACAAATGAAAACAAGTGTTTAATTGGTTTACCCATAACTGTTCAGAGGCCACAAAAGGCACAGAACATCGAAGTTAATTAAACTGGTTTAGAAAAAGAATGTGGCTGACCATATAGAAAGAAAAATCTTCAATTAGACACCTGACATAATAGAGAAAATAACAAAATAAATTCAAAAGGGAAATGAAGCCTTAGAGAATCTTATTCTGTTCCACTCTTTAAGCAGTAAGAACAAATATTTTTAATAATATTAAGTTTATCAAGATATAAAACATAAAAGAAAATTAAAACAGCAGGGAAATGCAGGAGGAAAAGGAGAAGATAAAAAAGTGTAGGGGAAAGGTGAAAAAAGAAAGAAAAACATTTTAACACAATAGAATCAGATAGAAACATTATAGCCTCAACCTTTAACTTGTACATACTAATATGTACTAGTCATTTCTATAACAACAAATTATCTAATCAGCAAAACCCAATGTCAAGTAGTAAGAACAAATTTGATGTCAAGGCAACCCAATGCTCTTACAGATTAAAAGGATCAGCATTAAGAGAAGAAAATGTTGTTCACATAAAGTAGTTACTAAATCTTGTAAGAGCTGATGCAATATCAAATGTACTGGGATGTTATGGGGACTATAGAATAGTTGCCATTTAATGCTAGGGATAGAATAATGACTAAATTTACAAAAACCACTCTTCCCTCAACGATATTGCACATGCAAGAATTGAAACAATTCCACATAATACCAATTAAGAGTCCTTTAGGCTATCTTTACTGGAACCTTGTCACTTTTTTCTTAAAAGGAGAAGGAATATTTTTATGATCTAGAAACAACACAGAGATTAGAGAGAGAATTAGAAATTTGCTCAATGTCATGTTCTCTCTCCATCAAGGCCAATTTTAAGCAAACATTCTCTAAAAGGGAGGGAGCTGAATGTCAAAATCCTGGTGAGGATGAGTGACTAACTCCTTTATTGCCCGCACCCCAAATTTACAAACTGGAAACACTTAACTCCCTGTTACCCATCTTATATCATTGATCTCACTGAGATCAAGTCCAAAGAAATCAGGTTTAGCATAAACAAGAGTCTTCTGCTCATGATGACAGGAAAAAGAATCATTTA